ATGCCGTCAGGTACTCTGCGATTGAAATCAATGCGGGATGTTTGAGGCGTCACGGTCTAAATGTATTCCTGTCGGTGATGGGCTCGCCGGGGCTGGCTGGCTGGGGCTGATATTATGACAGTAACGAAGATACGATAGGTACGATAGTTTACGGATAAGGTTTCAAAACGCTACGATACGTTACGATAGGTACCTGAGTACCTAGGTACCTAGGTAGGTCGGTACGAACCCTGGAGGTATAGGCACCTGTGTCTCCGTATGCATCAACTGCTAATGCAGTATGCCGGTACCTGCCCAGGTGGTTAAGTTTCACTAACGAAGTATAGGTACATTATTACTAGTGCTGCCATTGTTGCCCCTCCATATCTACCTAGGTACGTAGATACCTAGGTACCCTCAAGAGCCCCCGCCGGAGTGACCTCATTGGATCCCTTCCCGCCGTCAATTGGCTGCTTGTCAGCTTGTCAGGGCCCCCCCCCCCGTTCGGTTTTGGCTCGTGGCAGGCAGTGTGGGAAGTTGACCGGCAGGCGAGGCGGCTACTTTATTCGTAGCCCTGGAGGAGCTGGCGTATCTGTCTGGCAGCCTGATTGATTACCTAACCTCTCCGATTGTACGAAGTAGTCTACCTAGGTAGGTACCTAGGTACCTAGCACCTTAGCACCCTTTGGGCTTTAGGTAGGTACGGTACGGTACGTACATGCCGTCAGCTTAGTGCACCTGGGCAAGCTTCGGCCGTTCCAACGACGGACAGCAACAACTAAACTTCAACAACACCAAGGGCATCTTCGGATTCTCGCACAACACCATCATCACCGACCCCCGCGTCTCCTAACACTATCATTTGGAATCAGTCGCTCAGGGGCAATTCTACCTAGTCTTGACTTTGAATCTGCGTTTCGGACAGAACACGACCCCATCCTCCCATTGCTACGGCACTTCTGAGTCGCGATAATGGTGGGCAATGCCCTGCCCCTTCTTCCTTTCCACCTTTCGCACCCACAACCACCCCCCCCCCGGGCTCCGCCTCCCAGAAGGCTTGTATGCTTGAAGGTGGCATGTGCTGATGTTTGTTCTTCCTCTTTTATTAGGGTCAGAACCAGTCTGGTATGGGCGGTGGCCAGGATGGCCGCGATGAGAAGGACAAGAAGGTACGTTTCCATTATTCTTATGCCATCTATCAGCTCCGGTGGCGACAACAACGACCAGCTGTCACGACCAGCTTGACTGACCTTTGCGTTACCACCCATTCAGAAGGATAAGCCCAAGTACGAGCCTCCGCCGAAGCCCACCACCCGCGTCGGTCGCAAGAAGAGAAAGCAGGCTGGCACCAGCGCCGCTGCCAAGCTCCCCGCCGTCTACCCTTCGCAACGATGCAAGCTTCGTCTCCTGCGCATGCAGCGCGTCCACGACCATCTGCTGCTAGAAGAGGAATATGTCGAGAACCAGGAGCGTCTCCGCAAGGCCAAGGCTGCCAAGGACAACAACGCACCCGTCGCTGCTGACGATGCTGCTGATCGGAACGCTGACGAGCGTGGACGTGTCGACGACATGCGCGGAAGTCCCATGGGTGTCGGAACACTGGAAGAGATGATTGACGACGACCATGCCATTGTCTCCAGCACTACCGGTCCCGAATATTACGTCAGTATCATGAGCTTTGTCGACAAGGACCTGCTCGAGCCTGGTGCCAGTGTTCTCCTGCATCATAAGAGCGTCAGTATTGTTGGTGTTCTTACCGATGATACGGACCCGGCTGTGAGCGTTATGAAACTCGATAAGGCTCCTACCGAGTCGTACGCGGATATTGGTGGTCTGGAGCAGCAGATTCAGGAGGTCCGAGAGTCAGTAGAGCTGCCACTTTTGCATCCTGAGCTCTACGAGGAGATGGGCATCAAGCCGCCCAAGGGTGTCATCCTGTATGGTGCACCAGGTACTGGAAAGACGCTCTTGGCCAAGGCTGTGGCGAACCAGGCTTCTGCGACCTTCCTGCGCATCGTTGGTTCCGAGTTGATTCAAAAGTATCTGGGTGACGGTCCCCGTCTGGTCCGACAGCTCTTCCAGGTTAGTATCAAGCCCCAGGCCTTGTCTTTAAGATACTTCGTGGAGGCAGTACTAACATTGTCCAAAGGTTGCTGGAGAAAATGCGCCATCAATTGTATTCATCGACGAGATTGATGCTATTGGCACGAAGCGTTATGAGTCAACGTCCGGTGGTGAGCGGGAGGTCCAACGAACCATGCTTGAGCTTCTCAACCAGCTCGACGGTTTCGATGACCGCGGCGACGTCAAGGTCATCATGGCGACCAACAAGATAGAGACCTTGGACCCCGCCCTGATCCGACCCGGCCGTATCGACCGAAAGATCCTGTTCGAGCCCCCGGACCAGAACACCAAGCGCAAGATCTTCCACCTTCACACGTCCAAGATGAGTCTCAACGAGGATGTGGAGCTGGAGGAGTTCATCGCGCAGAAGGACGACCTCTCCGGTGCCGACATCAAGGCCATCTGCTCCGAGGCTGGCCTGTTGGCTCTGCGGGAGAGACGTATGCGTGTCCAAATGTCTGATTTCCGATCCGCGCGGGAGAGAGTGCTTCGGACGAAGCAGGAGGGTGAGCCTGAAGGGCTGTACTTGTAAGGTTATCAAGGTGAGGAGGGTGATGGTGTAATGTCACCACGATGAGTAGAGCGACGGCGGAGGGTGCGGACTCAGCATGGCGAATACGGGCATAGATGATGAATAGAGGGACATTGCTCATATCATATTGTCTTTTTACATTGATGGGCACTTTTGTGACATCAGTCTCCGTCTCGCGGCTTTACGAACTAATCCTTCCAGGTCTGCTTCTCATCAAGCGTCGGAGCCTCGATCACTTGGCTCTCCTCGTCCAAACCCAGGTCGCCCGGCGTCGGTCCAGTACCCACCTCTCTCATCACACCGTCGTCGACATCCCCGCTCCCCTCGGCACTCTTCAGCACCTCGAAGAGCTGCTTCGCACCCTCGGGCCACATCCCGGGCGGCCCCTTGGCCGGAATGTTTCCCTGCAAGATATCGGACACCTTGATCCCCTTGACACCATAAAACTCACCGTTGGCGTCCGGCCTGGAGAGGATGATAGTCCCGTCAGCCTGGACACCAGCGTAGAAGCCGCGCGACTTCATGTATGACCAGGCCGGCTTGGTGGGCTTGTGGAGGGCAGCCTCGACGGACGCCCCGGCGCCGACGGGCCCGGCCACCAGTCCGACTTCACCACCCAGGGAGACCCGGGGGTTCGTGAAGGCGCGGACGGCCTGGGGCGTCCGCAGGACACACACGCAGTCGTAGATGTCCACGCCGATCATGAAGCCGGCACCCAGCGTGTGCACGAGGAAGCCCGAGGGGGGGGACCATGACCCGTCCGGGAGGCGGGACACGAGGACCCCCGAGCCGCCCGCGCCCGAGAGGTGAAGCCCCGTGCGCATGGTGGTGAAGATGGCCAGGCCGGCGGCCGTCTCGATGACCTTCTGGGGGATCTTGACCAGGACTTTGGCCTTGCCCTTTGGACCGGGGGAGGCAGTGGGGCGCGGCGAGGAGGACGGGGTTTCTGTTGCCTCGGCTACGGCGGCCTTGTCCTCGGTGTAAAAGCCGTCCTCTATGTAAGGAGTTGTCAGCATGCTCTCTCCATATCCTCTCGCCTCTCTCCCTGTCTATCTATCTGACAGGACCAAGGACTCATACGCACTGCAGAACGATTTCAGGATCCTTGCCGCCTTGTCACACTCGGCATTCAGGGAGGTCGGCCAGAAGGCCTCTGAGCCGAGGCGGTTGGTCAACTTGTTGATGGGCGCGCCGGCCTTGGTGCTCCATGTGTAGAGCTTTTTCCTCCAGCCGGTCTTGCCACTTTTAGTTTCGCCCTGGTCGCCACCACCACTGGCTGGCGACTGAGAGACCGACGGGTGCACCGGAGGCGGTTGCTGGGCGACGTATGCCTGGCTTTGCTCCTGCTCTGGTCTTGGTGGCTTCGACGGGGCGTGGTCTCCCTGGGTGGCTGCTGGAGGAGGACCGGGAGGGGGTGAGTAATCCTGCTGTATGGATCCGTTATATTGGGGAGGAGGTTCCTGCTGCCCGTGCTCGCCATTCAGACTCGCCGTGCCAACGTGATAGTCTGGGTTTTGGTGATGTTCTTGGGTTCCAGACATGTTGTAAGTGAGTGAGTGACTCGACATGAAATAAGCAATATGCTGTATAATCAGAGTTATAAGCGTGTAACTATGCGTCAAGTAGTTGTGTTATAGGCTCCTATGCATATGTTATATATAAATGAGGCAACCTTGATAGACAATATACGCAACTGATATGTATATGTATAGATAGGTGAATAGAGGATATAAGTGGCTAGGAGGCATACGCAACCCAGGCAAACCAAACCGCCAAGTATAACAGGAGCGTCCCCTTCCTATCGACCCGACGACAGTCACCTTTCTGATGATTCGCACTCGCCGGCCTTCCGGTTGAGAGCCGACATGTGCCGTACTGTCCCGTGTGTCCCGTGTGTCCCGTGTGTCCCTTGTATCCCGTGTGTCCCTTGTATCCCGTGTGCTCCGCGGTGAGTCTTGGTTGATATTCGGTGGCCGAATGGTCACATAGCCTCGTTTCGGTGATGTCATCCAATTCTCCCCGAGTATATCTTTCTACAACAGACACATACAGACCTACTCACCCAAGCCCAAGGTTATGAGGCACTTGAGTATGTACACTAGGTAGACTTACACTGCACTACAGGTTTGATGATCAACACCACCAGGGTTGTCGATTTATTCACCAGCAATATATAGTATATACCCAATAGACATGTCGCCCCGAAACCCCAGCTGCTGTCGAGTCCTTTTCCTTTGATGCCGCGAGTTTATCGCGCCCATGACTCGGAATCCGGAATCCCGAGACCGCGGCTGGTCACCAGTTACCAGTCAACACCAGCACATTATGGAACTCTCATTTCGACCCCACAACCAATTCAGACAACGTCTTCGTGGCTCAGTTGGTTAGAGCGTTGGTCTCATAGTTCATCTATGACTTGAAGGTTATAACCTCCAAGAGATCCAATCCAAAGGTCGTGAGTTCGAGTCTCACCGAGGACATCAGATTATCATTTTGCTCCGTGCCGCTGTTCAGTTTCCTTTTTTTCTTCCTTTTTGTCTTTTTAATCCCTCTTCTACATCTCTTTATTTGCTCAGTGTCCGTTCCCACTATCCGACGACGCAAGGGGCCGGCCATACGGATATGTCGGCCTTGGGTTTTCCCGTCTATACTTGAGCACATAGACATGTGCTCATGGGTTCGAAGGCGAGGAGATACGCACAAGATAGTCAGCCCAGTCTCTGTGTGCGTTCAGTCGTGGAGCTACCCAGCATAATCTTGGCCGGGCGAAAGTAGATATCACTTGCACTGCCCAGGTGGGATGCCACCAAATTGAATCTGACACGGAGATGAGTGGGTGAACAAATACATTCTAACAATTTCTCCTCGTGTAGCTCTTTCTATCTGTTGTCATGTCGCCACCATAATAGAAGTATGTGTAGCACTTTGATTCTTTTGTCCCTTCGTTCTGCCTGTCTTCCTCAGTATGTATTCCATTCGTGTATATCTTGGCAAGGGAGGGCCCTACGTACCATACCCACTGATTGCTGGTTGCTGCTGCCATTGAATGAGGTCGATGCGGGAAACAAGATAAGCTACATAAAGACAGCAAGCCAAGATTAGATGCAAGAGACTGCCAGACCATTCTGCCGCCCTCGAGAAGCCGGAACAGACCGCGATCGATACTCCGCGCATCACCGTTCTGATTTATAAGGCATCCTCTCCTTCTTCAGAGCAGTCAGTCCGTCTCCTTGCCCCCCACACTCCGTCAACACCCCCGACCCTCCTCCTTGCGAACTCCGTCGCTTTCTGGGTATCAATAATAGAATAACCGCTCCCTTCCCACCATGTCCCTCGGCGTCTCTGTCCTAGAGATCCACTTGTCGGCGTGTTCATCCGCCGATGGGACGCCTCTCCGTATGTACTCGGCCAGGACGGAGCCCTTAACGCTAAGTTTACACTGCCGGGAGCAGGCTTGGGGCTTGGAACGTAAACGCTTCAGACGATATCTGCCCTGGTGGCAAATTGCCTAGCAGCACCTTCGAATAAGGCAATCATCATCGTGTGGTCAGCCAATGGCACCCTTTCAAGTTTCATACCGCTTCAGGACTGCTACGACTCGATCCACCTTTCTCACTGCCAGGATTCGAGATTGAACGGCCCCTAGACTTGTTTTCCCTTAGGTGTGCGGTGTTGGCTGCCGTTTGGGGCCCGTCCTGTCGAAGGGGGGCAGCACTGGCGCTGGGCCGGCCAGAGCTCGTGTCCATGACATCAACTATCTCCGCGCTATGGGAACCAGGGTCCGCAGCATGGTCGTCCTGCCCGAGGTGCTGAAAGCCATTGGCGGCTTGGATGCCTTGCACAAGAGGCGAGGGCACACCGTGCCAGTATTGAAGATGAGCATTCCAGTTACTTGGTGGTTGCGACGGAGCTGGAGGCGGAGGCGGGATGATATTAGCGTCCAGACTTGCGCCCGCGGGGCCGTGAGCTCCGATGTGTGGTGGCCCAACGAGAGGTGCCGCATCGATGACCATATCGGTCCCGTCGTCAAGACCATCGTCGTCATCGACAACATCTCTCTCCTGTTCGTCGAAGCCCGTGTCTGCATTATCATGTCCTGCAGGAGATCCAGCCTGGTAACCGAAGTTGGGCGGGCCCTGTGCATGTCGCGGGAACCCTGTCGGTGTCGCGTCGCGAAGATGGCCGAATGCTGCTTCGGTATTGAGATAACGACGCAGGTTAGACACACCTTGCCCCGAAAAGACGCAGAAAACCTGTCGCTGGTGCTCGGTAAACTCTGGGGTTCACGCTCATGTTAGTGGCTTGGCCGGCGGATGTTCAAAGTTGGTGACATGTCATGGCTTACCGATCGGTGCATCACGGCAGAACTTTTCGAGATCCGGCCTCAAGAAGGCCTGCACTCCCGTGAGGCTGAGGTGGGTCAACCGAGGGCAGGAATTGAGGAGCTTGATGATACTCTGCATTGCATGTGAGCTTGTGAGACTGGCCAGTATCTTTGATAGTCTGCCTTACCTTGAGCGTCAGTTGCGTGCAATAACTGAGATGGACTCGTTCCAGGCTGCTACCGCTGGAATAATTATACTCCCTCCCCTCGGCGTCCTTGCGCTGACGGTATCTCTGGTTCGCCTTGGCAAGCGCGTAGACTGATACATCAGTGATATTGTTGCACTTGACTAGGCCTATCCGCTTGAGCTTTGGGAGGACAGCCAAGCGGGTGACAGACTCGTCAGTCAGGTGGGTGCAGCAGCCCAGGTCAATGTACCGGATACGGTTGCAGCAGTGGACCAGACGCTTGACAGCCTCGTCTGTGAGATTGACGCAGTGGCCCAGATGCACGTAATGCAGATTCTTTCCAAGCCGAGAGATGGCAAAGACGGCCTGGTCGGTGATGTTGCGGCATTTGGCAAGTACGAGGTTCCTGAGACGAGGGGCAGCGTCGATGATCCTCTCAACGGCGCGGTCGGTGATCATGGTACACGACGTGAGGTCGAGGATGCGCAGGTGTTCGAAGGTCCGGCCGGCGGGCAGTGACAAGAAGGCACCGTCATCCACCAGCTCGCAGTTGGCCAGCCGGAGCTCGCGAAGTGCATTCCCCTTGACAAGCAGGTTCGTGACAGGCGCATTGCCGACAAGCTTGCACTGGTGTAGATCAATCTCCAGGATGTTGGGGCAATGTTGGGCAAATGCGAGTACGGCCTCGTCGGTGAGCTGGCTGCACTCGTTGAGTTTCAGCTGTGCAAGGGTTAGCACGACTTTCGCATCTCATGTTGCGCGTGCCCTCTGGCTCTTTATGAGTCCAGGAGGAGAGCGTCAGATTTACATACCCGCTTGAGATATCTGCAGTTCTCGGCGAGGAGAACCAAAGACTCGTTGGAAATCTTGGTGCAGTTGGAGATATTCAGACCTTGCAGGCGCCTGCAGTGCTCGGCAATGACCCTGATGGAGGCCTCAGTGATGTCCACATCGCCAGATATATCGAGAGCCATGAGGTGAGAACTATTCGTAACAAGGGGGATCAAGCCCCCGTCGGTCAGGCCCTTGCAGTTGGTCAGGGTCAACCTTTCGACGCGGTCACAGACAGCCAAGGCTTGGACGCTTCCGTCGTTAACTTTATCTGCGAGGCTGGCCAGGTTAAGGCGTTTGATGAACTGGGCGTAGGCGTAGTGAGGGCTATCCACAGTAAGGGTCCTGCAGATCAAGGAATGTTTGGGCCACGAGGTGCATGCAGGGCGGTGCCAGAGCAGCTCGACGGCGTTCTTGGACCAGCGCTTGCATGTGAGCATGACATTGCGCAGATCTGTCGGGGTGGACAGCTTGGCGAAGATGCATATAAGGATCTCGTTCGGCAGGCGCTGTACGGGAGGCAGGCACTCGTACTCATCCGTGACCTGCATGTCCTGCAGATTGGGAACGCCGAGTGAGGACTGCGAGTCGTTGCCATTGTGGTAGAAGTCGGACTCCTCGTACTCGGGAGGTAGGGGGGAGCTCGCGGAGGAGGTAGATCTCGAGTCCTGGTTGTCGTCGACTTCTATTGCAGGGGGAGGTGGTGGTGGTGTGGCGCTCCCAGTCGCGGCGGCCCGAGCCCGAGCTATTGCGTCGAGCGAGGGCGCTTGTTGACTCGACATGATGTGTGATGGTGCTGTATGTTGCAAATCGATGGTGTGTTTCTTCCGCAGCTGTGACAAGAGGCGAACAGAAATCGTGAATGTTGCCGTCGACGGTTCGGGCCCACGGTGCCTCGGTCGACCGGTCGGGCTGACGGTTGGGTGGTACTCGATGGCAGCGTCCTGACGGAGAGAGTTGGCGCCTACGGGTGAGATGCGAAGCGGCCTTTCCGGGGTTGTCTTGAGTGGAATGGGAGGGCGCGGTGTTGGTAGAGTCAGCCGTGTGCAACAGGAAGGCTGGCGTCGATGTACTCGGCGCAGGTACGGAGAGCACTATGACTGGAACCGTATAGCCGTCCGTGTGTGCTAAGAAATGTCGAAGGGTGGATCGGAAGGCTGGGGTGGATGATGAGCAGAAGAAAGGAGGGGACCGGGAGGATTAGCGGTATACGATGCTGTCGGGCCCCCTTTTGGGCAGCGCTTGGGCAGATCGTGACCTTGGATTGATTGACGGGTTGACCTGACAAGTGAGTGGTCGATCGATTGATTGATGAGGGGCGGATTTCGATATTGGGTTTCAAGGTTAGGACTGGATTGGGACTGATGGGATCCGATGGGGGATGCGAGGGGATGGAATGGTCGGGACGACGTCGGAAGGGTCTGGTCCTGGTTGTGGTCCTGGACCCCTGGGACCTGAGGACTTAAGGTACCTTGGTAGGTGGGTAGGTGGGTATGGCAAGCAGGTTGTTTCCAGGTTTCCTGGCTCTGAGGTGAGATGCTTCACGAGGTGGAGGAGGAGGAGGAGGGCGAGGAGGAGGAGGAACGAAGAGCAAGTTAATTGTCACAAGCTTCCAAGCCTCCAAGCTTCTTCCTGACGCGGCTGCTGCTGGCCCTGCTGCTGGCCCAGTGCTGGGTGGCCTTTGGATGTCTTTACTGCCCACCCCCTTATTAATATGGATGTCGCGAAACGGAGTTCAACCGTTGTCGGAATGATGATGCAAGACTGGACTCTTCCAGAGGCCCTCGGCGGCTGCCCAGGTGCAGGAAAGGAAAGTGCTGGCAACGGCGACGACAAAACAACAACTACGACGAACCCGTAACCGCCGGTGACGTGTGGGCGGAGAATGGAATGGGAAGAGGGCGAGAGCCTTAGGGGGTTCGGTCGGGATGATAAATCGAGACGACGAGAAGACGAAACCCTTTGATTCGATGCGCTGATGCGTTGACAAAAGGAGCCCTGGAACCCCGGGCAGGTGCGACAGCACGGGCTGTTGTTGCTCGGCTGCAGTGGGATGAGTAACAGTTGGGCAGTACCTAGGTACCAACCTAGGTAGGCTCTTGGGTGGGAAGCGCCCTGTCAGTCCGGTGGGAAGCAC